GAGGATTTTCCCCCTCCCTTCAACAAATCTCCTTTGCCTCCAACACTGAGCCCACTGCTGGAGCAGGGGGGGTTGGCATGGCAGCCTCAGGCCCTGCTGCTGTCGAAAGCTCCGTCTTAATTATGAACGATGAACACTTGAAAATCTGACCCGAGGTGGCTGTTGTTGAGTCATCCTCTGTTTAATTGCTTGCAAATATTACACAGTCTCACAGTGTGGGCTGTAAATTACCAGCAAATAAAGTGAGGAAAACTGCTTTACGGCTAATAGATTGCTTCTTGGGAAAGTTTGGGATTAAAGACATGGTTCTGTGGGGATGACAGTGCCTTCCCTGGGGTCAGACTGTAGAGACAGGCAGGAGACAAGAGCAGAGGATGCACAGGGGATGCTGAACTCCTCTGCTCTATTCCTGCACCTCCACGGGTGGAGGCATCCAGTTCGACTGCTGCAACAGCATCTGTACCACTTGCTGAGAGCCTCAGAAGTGCCAAGTGCTATTTATCAATATTTTCCAATACCCCCTAAGGTGAGTCTTTCTGAAGATTTCAGCATGAGGGTTCGTTAAGTGACTTCAAGTGAAAAGGAAGAAAAAAAAAGAGAATCCGCTATTCAGTACTGCAGATTTCCCTGGAGGCTCCTGTTATTACCATCTTCCCAGCGATGAGTGATTTATGTGATGCTCCTGCCTTGGTACACACTGTGCAAAGGACTGCTCCTGGGGTGAGCATGGCCCACCTGCCCTGGGGAGCCCTGAACTTGGGGTAAAACACAGATGTAGGGATGTCCCATGGGTGGGACCATGGTGGTGGCAGCTCAGCACCTCAGCCAGATCCCAAATCCCATTAAAATGAGAAATACTTCCAGCCATGGCCAACACTGAGCACTGTCTCGGATGTAATCTGTAGATCTGTAGTATTGTTTTCTGTAATGCTCAAAAAACCCTCCTCCAAAACTCCAGGATGCAGGATTATTAATTGATGAAGGAGCCTCTTTCTGTGGAAGCACTCACTCTACTACTCAGAAATGCAGTCTACAATTAGCAAGGCTTTTTCCTTTGGGTGCACACAACCTGAAAATGCTCAGAAGCCTCTGGGAGGCTGTGCTGTGGGTACGTGGGCAGGGGGAGCAGGTTCAGTCCTTCGGATGCTCCAGCAGCAGCTGTGCATGAATGGAGGATGTTCCAAATCTGCTGTGCTGAGCTCTGAGCATCACTGCGAGGTAATAGGGGATGTATCCACAGTCTGCCCATCCCTGTGCCCCCATTGCTGCTCACTGCATACAGCCAGGAAGGCATTTCCCAACCAGGAATACCTGGAAGAGAGCAAAAGAAGCAGGGAGGAAGGAAGCTATAAAGCAGAGGAAGCACTCAGTGTTCAAAGCCTCAGTACGGAGGTTGGAAAGGAATAAAAGCACACTGTTGGCTCCCAGAGCTGCTGTTCTGGCAAAGGTGAGCAAAAACAATAAAAATTCCACTGGTCTTCGCTTTTCCTTGAATAACATTAGGGGTTTGCTCAGGAAGAGCCCTGATCAGTGTGAAAATGATAATGGGGAGCATTTCTGTGCCTGCAGGCAGGAAGGAAGCTGCCATCGCCCCTGGCACAGGCTGCAGGAGGTGCCCTTGGAGCAGTGCTGTAAGGAACCACGTCTTCCCTCCATCCTGCTCCCCTCCAGTGCAGCTAATTCTGTATTTCTCTTTCTGGCTGCGCTGCAGAGAGTAATGAATGTGGCTGATTTGCCATCAGATAAATGGCATGCCATTAGCTGCCTGTTTAGAGACCATATTTCCTCTTTGTGATGAGAGCTCAATATCTTTCCAATGAGTTATTACTTAGAGATCTTCTAGACCTGGACTTTAAGTACCAAGCAATTACTGTGCTGTAATTCCAGGGCTGCTTGCCTCCCTGTTAGACACAGCCTCTCGAGCCTCACCAGGTTGATAGGAGGAAGGATTTTAGGTTTAGGGCTGCAGCAGCTCCTTCCCAGGCTGTCCTGTGTGCATCATCCCCTGGTCCCTGTTGGTCTCAGGATTTGGGCACACTCCTTGCAGTTCCAGGGCATTGCCTCTTTTTGCAGAGCAGGAAGAAAATCCTCTTTTCTTTGGGAAAAAGCCCTTTGCCTTGGGACAGAAGTCAAGAGCCACATTTGCAGCACTGATACAGATTTTTATCCTCCAAGCACTCCACTGGGGCTGGAGGTCAGTGTGGCAATGTGAGCAGGTTTTTTTTTTCCGTTCTTACTGGAGTATTTAGAGCATCCTGACATTTCCAAGGTCTCAGAGGAGTGGTGGGTGATACTGGAGGCCACACTTAGAGCTGCTTGAACAAAAGGTTCCCAAATTATGCTCAATTCCCTCTTTTAAAAACAGCATTACAAAAGCACAAGGTGCTTGTTCAACACGAACGCAGAAACTGCTGCCTTTCCTGGAAAGCTGCTCTGAGACCTGGGAGCAATTAAACCCTGCCCAAGCACTGAGCACAGGTTGCCCAAAGCCAGTGTCTGCCCCACAGGGCTCAAGGGCTTCTGAGCAACAGCCTCATCCATAAGAAAGGGTTCAAGGGAAACACTGCGGATATGAGAAATTACTGCTGTGAAATCTAAGGAAAAACACCAAAATTTTGCAAAGGGATCTGGAACTCCCAGCATCTCCAAATGCAGGAATGAGAGGCCGAGGGGAGACAGCACACCTGGAAGTATTGGGGTGGACCTGGAGGTATCTCCCTGTTAATGAGCACCTGCAGCTCCTCTGCTCACAAACCTGTGCAATCACTGCGGGAGATTTACTCTCCAAAAGTCTATTTCTTCTTTATTAAAGAAAACAGCAACAACAAGTGGTATATTCAGGGCTAAAACTGTTGATGCAGAGTTCAGCTTGCCTGGGGCATCTCCTGCATTTTTAAAGGCTTCAGCCTGAAGGAATGAAAAACAAGACAATCCAATGCCCTGTGGAGCTGCTGCTGCCCGCTCAGCTCCAGCTCCAGGCATCTCATCTTCCTCTGAGCCTCAGAGCTTCTACACTGGGTCCCAGCAGCCAGCACAGTGGGATGGGATGGAGCAGGGTGGGTTCAGTGCAATAGGATGCAGCAGGATGTGACGCAGCAGAGGCCAGCTACCCACAGGTGTTTCCCAGCTCTGAATAAATAGCACATACTCACTAATGATGAACTTCAGGATCATCATCTTGATGAGCAATAAAACACGTAACCATGCCTCAGATGTACATATCCTAATAAGTGATAGAAGCAAAGTAGTATTGTCCATCCTAGTGGTCTTGCAGCTCAGCTGCAACTGTCTACTGGATCTCCCCTGCCCAAACTCCAAACACAAAGAAAAGAGCTGTGGGATAGGAGGCATTTCCACTCCTCAGGGGTGAGTGCACGGACGGATTGATGAATATAAGGATGGATGGATAGGCAGATGGATGGATAGACAGATGAGTGGATGAATGAATGGATGGATGAAATAAGGATGGATGGGTGGCCACATGGTGAGTGCCACAACTCCCTTGATTTACCAGGCCAAATCCTCTCTTACAGTAGAAACAGTAAAAACTAAACTATCTAGGAAACTTGCTTTTTGCTTTTTTCCTCTCTCTTTCTTTCTTGCTTTTTGTTTTTGGTATCAAATTTAGCATTTTAAAAGCACCTGGCAGGCTCAGTAGTACAGCCCCAACTGCTTGCCTGAGGAAGCAGCTCGAATCAAACCACTTTCTAGTCTTCTTATTGCCTTATTCCCAAATCGGTCACAAGGAGGTGTCAAAAAGAGGCCAGGTGGCACAAACAGTGGCTTTTCCAACACTGAGGCTCCATTTCCTAGGAATTAGAGAATGGTAGAATGGCCTGGAGGAGATATTTCAGCCTCCCAAACTGCTGACGTTGAAATGTATCCAGGAGACCGGGCTAATACTGGAAGTATTTTAAATAGATCAAATAATCAGTGCTTTGCAAAGCCAGATTCCTACGTCTGAGGCCTCAGGCAGGTAAGTTCAAGTGTGTTTCCATAGTGTATTAAAGGCACATTAATGAAGCCCACAGCCTCCGCTTGCGATCTTCAAAAGCTCTCTTGTTTTTGAACTGTAATTGTCCACTGAGAAATGACAAAACAAACAGCAATTACACTGGAAAAGGGATTTTTTTTTTTTTTTAAATGATGCCAGTGGGACTGGAGCTCATAAAAGTGTGCTGGTGATATATAAACATTAAACTGCCACCAATTGCCAGAGAATTGAAAGCATGGAAGCGTGCGTTGTTGGTGCCTTTGGTCCCCGAGCTCAGAGGAGCTGCAGCCCCTGGAAAACCCAAATAATTCCCCCACTCTGCTCCAGCATCGCTGCCTTTTAGGAATGAAACCAGACATGCCCAGGCTCTCCAAAAAGGCCAAGAGCTTCCCCACAGACAGGACGTTTTCATTAGCATGGTGCTAATAATTCCCATTTTTTATTAGGGTAGCACCGTCCCTCTTTATGTGCAATCTGCAGAATTCATTTTCACCAGATAACATGACCCACACCGGACTCAGCGTGCAGAAAACCACTGATAGCAACACGGGGCCATTTATTTGGTGCAGTATTGTTAAAGTGAAAACAGCAGCCAGGCAGCGGTGGCCAATTACTGTCAGATAGGACCTGCAAATAGGAAAAAATTACCCTTGCTAGGAAGGAGAGAGACAAGTTATGGACTGGATTCGGTGCCGTGGCAAGGCAAATAATAACAATTTCTGTGTTGGGAGAGATTATGGGCTGCCTGCCTGCCAACTGTGGCTATTGCACTGTAATGCTGGGTTTCTGCTTGTGTGGTTGGAAGGGAAAATCCGCTGGGCAAAGCAAAAAGCACCTGTGCTATGCGTGCAGCTCTGCTGCCAGGATCCTCCCTGCAAAAGGGATATTTGGGTGCAAAACTGGCATTCCCCACCACCTCAGCCCCACCAGCCAAAAATGGAAAGCCTCGTTCTCCTTTCCCTACCCGTGAATAAAACCGCAGTAATACATTCATTTTAAAACCATACAGAATATGAAAATTTGGTACAAGGACCTCAGCTCCCTCATTGCAGAGAGCACTTATCTTGTTTAAGAAATCAGTTTTAAATGCTTGCTCAGATAAGATTCTATTTTCTTCCGTAGTTAGCGTGTTTTAAATGGTTTTATTTAACTAATAAAAGCCATCTTTGCTGCTGGTTTTTAGGTGTTTTAAATTGAAAACCAATTTCAGCCCAAATGGACCACGACGCATGTTGTGAGTCTATAATTAATAAGAATCTCATAAAAAGGGAATGCATCATTCCCTGTAACACAACATAATCAAATGTAGAAATGAAGAATCCCTGTAAATACACATCCAGCAGCATAATTGCCTAAGTAAACGTGCACCCATTTAACCAAAAAAAAGGTTGCCAAGTGTAGGGTAAAAGAAGTACAGCTGCAGATTAATGGTTGTCACCCAAGAGGAATAAATAAGATGTATGAATGAAAAGCAGGATTAGAGCTGGTGAGCAGACCAAGCAGGATGCTAGCAGGGCTCACAGTGCTTTGTGCTGCTCTCAGGCTTTGGGGAATAGATAGGAAACGTGTGAGGGGATGTGTGGGACTTCAGTGGGACCTGGGGCACTGCAGCCAAGGCGGCATCCTGGGGAGATACCAGGGCAGCAAAAAGCACAAAGGGTTGGAAAAAGTGCAGTTCCTTCCTGTGCTGACTCCCTTTCAAAACGCTTGTGAGAAAAATGGACCATCTTTTACACGTGAGAGAGAGGCTCAGCGAGAGGCAGCAATAATCTGTCGTTTTCTATTCTGCTGCTCAGCTAGAAGCCCCTGGGGATGGAGGGGAAGGAGAGGGACCTCAAAATAGCGGCGGACTTCATGTGCAGCTGGAGATGCTGTCAAGAACAAAGCAAAACCTGGAGCAGAGCAGACTGGTCCTTTCCCCATTCCCATCCCATGGAAAGGAAGCGCTGCAGGGCTGGGAACTTTGTGCAGTGCCCCGGTGGCTTTGAACCCTCCAAGAGCTGATGGAGATGGAGAAGGGAATTTGCAGAGTGCTGGGTCTGAACAAGAGGCAGCCTCTGCTGCCCAGGGGCTCCGTCTGAGCCCTTGTTAGAGAGAGATGCTGAAAATATCCTCGTTTCCTTTGGGAGCAACATCTGCTGATCATTAGCCAGGCTGTAGGAGGGGAACATCTGCTGCTGGTGGCTGACAGGTCGGGCTGCTGCTGGGTCTGTTTGGCAGCCGAGGGGAAGGCACATCTCTGCTACTGCCACAGCCCTGCCTTGGTGCCCCATCACTGGGTTCCCCAGCATTGCATTCCCACAGCCTTACGGTGGTCAGCATTCCTTTCCATTCAGACCTCGGCAGAAAAACAAAGCACCAGCTCAGAGTCATAGAACTGCAGAATCACAGAACCATTAATGTAGGAGGACACCTCTAAGATCATCTAGTCCAAATGTCATCCCATTCAAACCCACCATGCCCTCCAAACCCCATCCCTCACTTTGATGATGGAGGAAGTGCTAAAACAGCATCCCACCCAGCCCTGAGCAGCAGCACCTCGAGCTTTTCCTCCAACTTTTGAGCTGCCCCCAGCAATTGTCCTTTTGAATGGAGCAGGATGATGCCTGGGGATCTGCAGCTCGTGCAGAGGGAACCCCCAGGATAGGATTAGCTCAAGGGTGATTGCTGGGTCTCAATCGCTTGTAAACTCTCCACTGCACAGTTAGGTGGAGGAAAGCAGCCCTGCTGGGGGTTTGCCACATTTGCCCTTTCCAGTTTGTTGCTGAGCTGGGAGAAAGAAGGGAGGCAATGGAAAAGGAGTGGGATCAAACTCAACCAACCTCAGCAGCCTGTAGAGTGATGCCTCAGTGGGAAAATGGGTGAAGCCAAGGATGCTGAAGTAAAATCCTTCTTTCCTATGAGCCCAAAGCCTTGGAAGGTGGCTCAGCCTAAAAAGCATTGCACAAGCTAGCAGCAAGGAGATTATCCCAGCCTTCTGCAAGCCAGCCCTTCATCCTCCACCTCAGACACCACCAGCCTCGCTCCCCTCACCCCACCATCCTCCTGCCCCAGCAAAGGTATTGCCTCACATCCCAGCAGCGCGTGATGCCCACACTCAGTGCTCAGCTATCCCCACCATCTCCTTGTTAAACCAAATAGGGAACAATCAGAAAGCAAGCCATAGCAGAAGCATGTTTGCAAAGCACCAGCAACAGATGTCCTGGGTCCCGGGTGAGCTTTGTCTACACCAGAAAGCAGCCAGCTCCAGGCTTTCTTTGTCTCGACAATAAACAAGTGCTAAGGCTAAGTGCAGCCCCACGCTGCCAAGGGGTATAAATTGGCACCTATTAGCCAGCCTCAAAATAACTCTAACTTGTTTGACATAATGAGGTGATTAAATCAGCATGAGAAATCCTGCTTCTTGGAGCCAACAGGACACGGCGATTTAAAACACACTGCAAAGCCCCACTGCAATTAGAGGGAGGACAGAACGGGGTTTCGGGAGGGAGATGTCCATGCAGGCTTTGTTAATCGTGCTGTGCCGTGCCAGCAGTGAGCCTGAATGGATCCACAGCCCAGCCACCCTCATTAGCACTGCCAGGGCTGGGAAAACACAAAGATTACCTAATGTGCATGGTTTCACCCGTTTTTCATGCCCTAAAAAGACATTAGGGCACACGAGGACACTGCAGCGAGGGATGCCAGTGCTGGAGAACCACCTGCCATCAGCTCCCACACTGCTGCCAGCGTGTTCTCCTGCTTGCAAACTCTTACTGAAGAAACCCAATGCATGGAAGCTGCTGTTGGAGCAAAGGGAGTCCAGAAGGATGGGCTCTGAGCTGGTGGTGAAGAACAATTCAGCAAAGAGTTTGCTTTTGCTTCACCCGATGTAGGAAAACAAGCAGGGAAGTTGCTGCATAGGTTTGGCAATGAATGAAGACCACCTGTGCTGATGAGGAACATCTCCACACCACACTGCAAGAGAACAGGAACACATGGATGAGTGCTTCTGAAAGCAGCCTTCCGCCAGTCCTGCCCAGCACCAGCCCACCCAGAATATCCAAGAATCCACAGGGAGCACCCAGACCCCCAGCCCTGTGCTGGAGACCTTCAGGGATCCCATATCAGGGTAGCTCTGCAGAGTTTTTGGTGGCTGCTCCCCCGCATTGCTATCTCCATGCCCCACATGCACATTCCCAGCAGGTTGCTGGCGACTTTCAGTAGGCTGCCTCTCTCTTGGCCAAGTCCAGCATGCAAATAGCAGGACAGTAAATCTTTGGCCAGCAACAGTTCTCATCCAGGTATCACAGGGACTGAAGTTAATGAGGGTTTTGAAATCCAATAGTCCCTAAACACTTTAAGGCACTGCCTTTGCCTTTCTATCTTCATGCTTTGAGGACAAATCATTCCTTACAATCTGTGTTCCCACACCCTCTTGCCTGAACTCCAGAGAGGGATTTTGTCTAGGTCTGGCACATACTATGGTCATTTGTCATAAAATTATTCTCGTTCATTTATCTCCATTCTGCCTTTTCAAGTCCTTTTCTCGCGCGCTACTTCGGCCAAATTCCCAATTCCCTGAATTTATTATCACTATAAAATGGTTGCCTGCTCCACAGCATGACCTAGACGTGCACCCCACCGTGATGCTTTAGAGGCCTTTGTCTGTTCCTATGGCAACTGGAAAAAGAGGCAGCACTGCAGCCAGCTCAGGGCCGGATCCTGCACGGACATTACACCTCTGCCCAGCTGCAGGAGCCCAGGAGAAGCCAGGTGACAGTGTGATGAATAGGGCAGAAGCACACGTATGTGGGGTCTGCTTTTCCTCCTGCCACCTTATAACTGGGTTTCCTGGCTTTTCCTTGAAGGTGGAGCCAGCAGCATCCCCATGGGTAACGGGATGTTGTTGGAGCTATAGGTACATGGATCTCTCTTCTCTCCAAACCAGCCAGCAAATAACTCCTTTTGTGAGATCTACTGCCTTTAGACCTGTTGGCAGAGATTCATGCCTTTGCTTTTATTTACTGATCTGATTCCTTTTTAATACTTCATTACTCAGTTCCCACCTCAGCCCCTCCATCATTCCACCCAGGATCCAGCTGGAGCTGGCATGCCTCTAATTACTGCATTTGCCCCATTTATCCTTCCTAAATGTTGGCAGAGATCTCACCTGGGAAATCAACACAGCAGACTCGACTCATGCTTTTGACATCACCACTATTTTGTTTTCCCACCCACTGTGGATCTCCCCCCCAGACCTCTGCATTGAGAGGTGAGAACTGAGCTGCAAGGACGCAGTAAGCTCTGCCATCCCATCATTGCTCGGTGCTGCATGTCCTGGATGTACAAAGCTAGCAATAAGGGAATGCACAAAGCTGCATCTGGGCAGGGCTCTGCCTTGAGGGCAGTGTGCATGGAGCAGCTCCCCAGGGCAGCAGGCACAGCTCTGAGTTGCTGGAGCTTACAGAGTGCTGGGACACTGCTCCCAACCATGGGGTTTGGGTGGTGCTGTGTGGGGCCAGGGGCTGGACCTGCTGCTCCTTGTGGGTTCCTTCCAACACAGGGAGTTCTATGATTCTAAAAAGCAGAGCCTTAGGACATGGCTTTCAGTGTCCTGCCACAGTGTGTCCTGTGGCTTGTCCCAGGCAGCAGGAATAGGTTTGGCACCACCACTCCCAATGACATTTCCCCCATTTCCCAATGGAAAACCCAATGCCTAGATTTACCAGCTCGCTTTCAAAACCCTTCCAAAAGATACAAAAGAGCAGAAGGTGAGGAATAAAAGAATCCACCTTGCGCATGAGCACCCTGGCTGTGCACTCACACAACCCCGTTGCTTTTGATCTGAAACTTTTTTTTTTTTTTTAATTATGATTTTCTGATGACAAAGGGCAGAGCTGATCCAGGCAGCATCTCAAGCAGCTTGCCCAGCTCTGTGGGCTGCCATGCCAGACAGCACCAAGCACTCGAGATGGATGGGAAATAGCATTCCCTCCATGTGTGGCTGAACGATCATAACATGCTGGCAGCAGCACTGGGCACAGCAGCCTCTGCTCACTGCCATCTGGCAGCTATAGCATGGGGAGCTGGGGCAGGAGGTGAAGGAGAGCACAGCCCATCTGCGTGTCCTCTTGGAGGAAGGAGGAGGAGGTTAAAGTGCCACCAAGAGCCAGCTGGCAGGGAGCACGGAGCTGCATCCCAATGGCAAATGAACACATTGGGCTTTTGGTGTTGGGGTGCACTGAGAATCAGAGAGGGCACCACCAGCTTGGCATTGACCAAACCCAGCTGAGACGTGGCTTTATTCCCCAGGATTTGTGTGGGATTTCTGCTCAGCAGAAAGGAGCCCATTTAAAGACCTTCTGGTTTGGGTCAAGGAAGGGATGGAGAAAACTGCTTTCATTCACATGGGGTCTGGGTGGATTGGGAAAGACCCTGTCCCATGTCAGAGACATCATGGGGCTGTACCCATGCTGAGCAGCAGCACCTCCATCGTGGCAGCACTGATATTCCCCAGCCACACTTCCAAACATGAGAAGCAATGCTACCTGTGCCCAAGCTCACTGGTTTCCCATTTTACTCAGCAATTTTGAGAAACACCGAGAGAATTCAGAGAAATTCAGAGTGGGTGAACCTTGAGTGCTTCCTGAGCACCGCAGCCAGCAATTCTGCACATCCCTGTTTTGTGATAAAACCCACTGCATTACACAGAAGGAGCCTGCTGCTTTCTAAAGGCTTTTAAAAGCCTTTGTTCAATGCAAACACCATTGTTAGAAAGCCCCAGGTTGGTCCTGCTGGCATATCTCCATAGTCCATCCCTCTCCAACCTGCATCCCTTGGTAGGGCAGCACTTTGTACAACGCTCTCAGTGTGATGGAAATACACAGCTGGACTCAAAGAAATGGCTCTGGGGCACACCTAAGCTGCTTCCTTAGCCAGAAGGGAGATGGAAAGGGCACAAACTACTCACTGGGATTTGATGGCTTGTACACAGCCCCACCTGCACTGCTGCTGCCCTGCAAACATCTCCAATCCCACAGCACTGAGGATTTAATAGCACTGAGGATAAAGCTGAAAAACATATGTGGGCTTTGTTGGGCAGCTTCCTACCACTTGTTGAAGACTAAGTGGTTTCAAGCAGTGTAAGGACACTCACAGGACCATGAGCCACACACAAAGCAAAACCCACTCCCCCTTGGCCAGGGAGGCTAGCAGCTTCACGGGATGGAGCTCTGCTCTTATTTATAGCAGCACTGTAACATGATGGAAAGCACAGCAATGACAGCAGAGCAGCAAGATCCTAGGCTGCAGCAAGTGAGGATTTGCTCAAATGCAACAGCTGTAGGTACAGAAACAAAGGAACAAAAAGCTGCTTACCTTCAGAAGACCTCAGCTATGCAGAGATCTTCAGCAAGATACCCTCACCTCCACTACCAACCCTTAAATGAAGGCTGGGAAGGGGTGGATCCTGGCATTGCATGCACCTGAGCTCCCCTGGGTTGGCCCTGCCTTTCCACCAGGTGCTCAGTCACTGCATCAAGCTGTGACTTAGCATTTCCACTATGAGCACCTCAGGACCCCAGGTCTGGCTGAACCTGGGTCCTGAGCTAAAAGCATTTGCTCTCTCTTCCAGAAGCTATTCAGCCCTCTGCAAAGGAATGCACGACATCTTCATAAATTTCAGCACTGTCCAGAGGGCAGTGGGATCAGAGCGAGTGCCCTGACCACGAATCCATCAACCTCTTCACAAAAGAATCAATTTTTATGTGCTTGTAGCTGTGGGGGGATTACTGTTGACCCGGTGGAACCATAAATAGAAGCAGTGCTGGCAAAGGCCGTGTGTTCACCCAGCTGCTTTCTCTTTTCCCACCCCTGTCTTTGCAAGGTGACCGCTTGCATTGCAGCAGCATGGAGCAAAACCCTGACTGCACGCTGGGTGTTGTTTGGTTGGAGGCAGAGCTCCATCTCTTGCCCGGGGAGCACAACCTGGCCATGCTTGGGTGGGCAGCAGCATGGCACAGTGCATGGCATCACTGCGCCCTGCAACATCTTCCTGACGCTCACTTAACAAATCCTTATGGCTGTGCTTTTTCCTCCGTGCACCCACAGGAGCCACGCTCCTGGGTCAAGCTGTGCTGTTATGTACAGAGGATCAAGCAAAGCACGTGTTTCTGCAATGGGTGAGCTCATAGCTGAAGCCCCTGCACTGTTGTAGGCACCAGCATCATCCAGTTCTGCTCAAAGGGAAAATCCTCCATCCCATAGGCTATGGGGAGGGTCCTGTTGTACTGTTCCCATTTCCTCCCATATGGGGAGATGCTTCCACTTCCCACCGAAACATCCACAGCATTGCAATGGATCCCACAGGAGCAGGGCAAGGTGCAGATGTGTAAATGTAAAAGAAAAACCAGATTTCCCAGCCCCGTCTCCTGCTCTGACACCCCGCTCTCTGCAAGCCTCATAAAATCTAGGTCACTTCTGAGGGATTATTTTGCAAAAGTGGAAAATCATCTCGACAGCTTCCAACTACCCCACTTGGGCAGGTTTCTGGAATAGAGAGCTGTGGGATGACTGTTTGTCTTTATAATCTACTGAAGTGAAATCAAAGCTGAGCCCTGAATAAAATGCCCTGAATGATGATCCACGCACTCCCACTGCACAGCCATCGAGGTCTCACCCAGGCCAGCAGTGTCAGAACGGATGAATCAAATCCTTTAAATGGGATGCCTTGTCTCATCCATGCTCCTCATTTAAGCCACGTGTGAGGTATTTCCTGCTCAGCTGACAGAACTCAGAGGAGAGCCGGTCCCATCCAGGGAATGCTGATGCTCTGCTTGAGATACAGGAAGGAGAAATGTCTGCATCATCCCCACCAGGCCCAGCACCATCCCACTGCCACACAGCCCCACTACACTGATGGTTTCCTTTCCCACTTCATAAGGGAAAGCACCTGCCTGCTGCTATTTGCTCACTGTCTTGCTGCAGGCAGGTTTCGTTCTTAATGAAATTGTTCAAATCGGCTCTGAGTAGCAGCAGCAACTTGCTTTTCCAACAAACTTGCTTTTCCCGGAGCCCTTATGGGATGGCAGTTGGTGGAGGCCCACCTTGCCCCCAGCAATGCTTCCCCCCATAGTGTGGGGCATGAGTGAGCCCTCCTGTTGCTGTCCCATTGGGTCCCATGGTCATGAGGTGACACCAGGGAGGAGATGACAGCCCTGATCCACTTTGCTAAGATGCCAACTTTTTTTTTTGCTATATTTAAACAGCTCTGAAAGCGCTTTCAACCTCAACAGCCCCATTCCTCTGTAAAGGTACTTCTGAACCACGCTGCACTGCGTCAGAGTAATTAAAAGTGAGACTGAAATCTTCCCAGGGAATTCAGAACACAGCTAAGGCTGCAGGTCTAACAGACCTATGTGCCCTAATTCCAGCTTCCCCCATAAAACATTCTGCAGCCTCACTGTGCCTCAGTTTCCCCACATATACCCTAAAGGACAGCAACACATCACTGTCCCCAGCCTGCAGCCCTGGGCAGGGGTTGGGCTCCAATCAAGGGATCCCTGCAAAGGGATCAATGTCGGTCCCACAAGGAGCAGCTGAGACAGTTAGCAGCATCCAGCCCTCTTTTCATTAATTTCTCTTGAATAATTAAACCCTGGGATGTTAATACTTTCTGCTTGAAAACTCAAATTGCAGTGTTTGTAATTACTGTTTTATTGGAACATTAAAAATTAAAGGGCATCTCAAGGTTGTTGGTATGGCACAGGATCCTCCTCCCCTCCCCGTGATGTCCTGCGTGCTCCCAGCCCTCCCTTCCCTGCTGCTTTATCCCATCACAAGCAGAGATGCTGGGGCTCAGGATTTGCGAGCATCTCCAGCCCTGCAGAAATGGGGACGTGTCAGCATGAGGACATCCTGATGGGGACGATGGCTTCCAGCATCACTCAGCGATGTTCTGGGAAGGCAAACAGCCACGAAGCCCGAACAGGAGGTGTGCTGTGGCTCTGGGTGGGGAGGAAGAGCCACTCAGTGGTATTTGCAGCTCAGCCCCACTGCCCCCCCAGCCCTGCTGTGTGTCCCCTCAGCAGCAGTTTGTGCCACGTTTCTGCCCTCAGTTCATCGTTCTGCGCAATTTGCAGTGCTGAGAACCAGAGACATCCCTTGGCTCTGCTCCCCACCAGCCCACGCTCTTACAGGTTGGGATGCTCGGTTCCCCAGTTTGGGGTTTGTGCCCCCCAAGGAGCCTGTTTGAAGGACACAGCAGGACTCAGCATCCCTACATCCCACCAGTCCCACGCCGCAGGGCTCACACACGGTCCTCATCATAGGGACAGCCCCATGGGATGGTCCCACACAGTCCCCCACTGGTTCCCATGGCAGCGGGCTCTCCACTGGCTCACCAATTACCATGGCAACAAGGCTTCCCCCTCCCCATCCACAGCACTGGGGGGTTCACAGGGGTTCCCATAGCAGCTTCCCCTGATGGAGAACATCCCCCCCAACTCCCCCAGCAGCAAACAGCACAACTCCTGCATCTGGCCGAGCGGTTGGATGTGGGCACGAACCTGCTGCCCACACAGGGGCTGGATGCTCTCCTAACCCGTCAGGACTCAGCACCAATCTTCCCTCCTGCTGCCACCCCCTCACACCCCTCCCCAACGCCTTCCTGCTGCTGACAGGTGTGCGGATACTCAGCTCTCTCTCCACGCCGTGTTGTACAGCATCTCTCTGCTCGGAGAAGATTTGTAAAAATGATGCATGATGGGTGGATGCAGATGAATTTTATTCTACTGTCCTGCCGAGGATTCTGAGCCAGTCACCAAAAGGGGAATACCAGCATCACTGGGCCCCTTGAGATCTTATTCTCCCATTCAGCAGCACTTATACCAGACCTCCCTTGATGCCAGCCCTGGGGGGAGATGCTGGAGCACAGTGTGTGCTCACCCAGGGCAGCACCTTTCTCTCCTGGGCTGCCACAGCCAAAGCAGCGGTGATATTAGGGCCATGGGGGCTGTGATCCCCCACCCCCCACCCATCCCCCACCATGGATGGGATCGGACCCTGCAACGGGACCTCAAATCCTATGGGGCTGTGCTTGTGCTCAGGCTGCACAGCTCCGTGCCCTCGGATTTCATGATGAAGTTAAGATAGTGAGGCTGTTGCTTGAGGTGGAAAGATGATTAACAGCCATCATCCCAATTAAGAGTTTCTAATTGGGATTAATTTGAGAAGTTAATTAAGCGTGGAAATCTCTTGCCTCCCAGATCTCTCTTACCAACCTGTTGCTCCCCAGCCCTCACACCACTGGGAGGGCACGGGGCACTTCAGGTGAGGACATCACTGCTGGGCTTGTCCATTAGCACTGCTTTTGGTGGCTGTGTATGTAGAAATGATGCCCCAATGGCAATCAGGCACCGCTCCCTCCACCCCGCGCCCAGCAAGAAGCCTGCAGCTCTTCCTATTACTTTCCTCAACATCTCATGAAAATTAATTCCTGCAATTAATGGATTAAATCAACAACCCCCCACGCTCGGTGAGGCTGAGCCAGATGCACTGTGGCAAAGAGCGTGGACATCACCTTCAGGAGGAAACAAGGACATGGGATGGGAAGTCAGGAGCAGATCAGATAGGTGAGAGCTGCAGTGCAACGCTCTGCAAAGCAGAACCCCAACTGACTGTACCTCCATGCAAGCTGCAAAGCCCCTACTTGTTTCTTAGAGATGCTGTTGGATGCCTTGAATCCTCAGATGAAAGGAACTAAATTAGGCAGATTGCAGTTTCCTGTTTTCTGGCTTGTATTTACAGAAATTCTGAGAGATCTGGTCACTCCCTTTCCAAATAGGAGCTGAAAATAAGGACCTCCCTTTAATTTTTCCCCTTTCCAGAGGATTTGGTCCCACGGCTGGGGACACTCCATCCCCCACATAGGTGCTGGGGCAGAAGTTGCACCCTCAGCAGTTCTGCTCCGTTTTGCCCGTGGATCATTGGTATTTCTTTGCTTTCCTGGGAAATGGCATTGAATAGGCCCCTATCTCTCCTGAGAAAATATTGATCCAGAGTTTTAATGGCTTTCCATTAATGAGCCACAATGGGTGTCATTGGGAAGGATGGCTCCACCTGATAAGAAAGGGAACACTCAGCTTTAAAAAGGGGTTTTCGCCCCCTCCACAAATTCTGCCAGAAAAGAAAATGAACAAGAAAATGAAAAAGAAAGAAAGGGAAAAAAAAAAAAAAAGCCATGGGTTTCACTGCTCTTTTCACTCAGTCGCTCTGAGGACAGATGTTCAATTTGTTAACTTCCCCCAGGGCTCCGCTTTGCCGAAGGGATGAGGCAAGGAGAAAGGAGATCCAATGCACTGGTGTATTTCGGGAAGTCTTTCTAAAGGGGGGAAAAACATCATAAGAAAGGCCTCCCAAAAAG